GATGGTCCTAGTGACAGACCTGTTTAAACCTTTTGTGAGGTTTCATACAACCAACTTAATGCTATATGAAAAGGTGGAAGCAAGTGAGGCAGGCTTGTTTTTAGCTCTTAGATATGGATTGAGCAACATACCTTGAAATCAATGCCATAGCTTCTACTCATAAGAAGGCAATGCCAAAATCACGGCGTCACCTTAGTTTCTGTCTGACGCTGTTTTCTGTGTTCCCTCTGTCTGTGTCTAGCTGTTTTTTTTTCTATGTTACTTGTTTTTCCCTTTCTTAGTTAATGTTAGTTAATTCTTGTGTTATTTAAATAGTCAGTTCCTCATTTTCTTTTCATTATTTGTACTTTTATCTGTATGTTATTCTTTTCCCCACTCAAATTGTTTTCAGGTTAGGTTTGCCAATGTGTTACTATGCTTTTCCCTGGCATGGATGCACACACACCCACATACATACAAATATATATATATATATATATATATATATATATATATATATATATATATATGTTGTGTGTGTGTGTAGTGTGTGGTGTGTGTGTGTGTGTGTTGTGTGTGTGTGTGTGTAGTGTTGTGTGGTGGTGTGTCAAAATTACACCATTCAAAATAACTAATTATTTGAATTTTTTTTTCTTTTCTTTTAAACAGTATATTTTGAGGGCATTTAGAGGTGGTGTGGGTGATTTGGCAACAAAATGGTGAAGAGGGTGCAGCTAAACTATTGCAGTGTCCAATAGGTTATCTGAAACACTAACTGAATTTTTGGACAGCCAGACTGTAAATGCAGCTATGCTACACTATGCTATTCTTCGTTGGCCTGTTTTGTCTGTAGGACAAATTGGACAAAGATAACGGAATAAAGATAATGCATTCATTTTTTCCCTGAAAATTTTTTAAAATTTTTTCTTCTTTCATCAGCACTCAAATAAGCCAAACAGAAAGGTCATTCTCCTCCAAGGTCAATGCCACTGCCCTATCCTGCAATTTTAATGAAAAATATCAAGATCTGCACTACAATTTAATGTGTCCTTTTTCATACAGCATTATTCTGAAATTTGAAACTAATGCATTTTATTGCTTTTTTTTTTTTTTTTTTTTTTTTTGTGTCCCGTTTGGATCTTTAGCCATCAGAATTGTTGTCTTAAGGCCAAGAAAGATGCCAAGCGGATTTATTTTACCAAGTGGATCATCATGGCCTTGCCATATTGGTCCATTTGATTGACCTTTATTATAATTATGAATTTATTTTATTTTCAGTTGCTACAAACGGGACAGACATGACTGGGGGATAGGACAGGGAGAAAGAATGAAAGAAAGAGAGGGAGAGAAAGAAAACAGAAGGGGAGAAGAGACGGTGAGAAAGGGGGGAAGAAAGAAAGAAAAACAAACAAAACACCTGGATCACCTGTATGGAGAAAAAACAGAAGAGAAAGCAAACAAAAAAAGAGCAACATAATAAATACAGCACCATCACAATAAACTAGCTAGCAGTAGATAACAGTAGATACTAAATATTAAACGATATTGTGCAGCACGCAAGATAGACAGCGCACAATGTGCTTTGAGGCAGCAGCCAAGAAAGGTGTAGTCCGCGTCTGTGAACACCCGTGTGTACACCTGTGTGCATACCTGTGTGGATCAGCATGCTTGTATTCCAAAGGTTTCTCCATGTAACGATCTGCTAGGGAGTGTGGGGAGCCATAGCCCCGTCCACCAGGGTATGAAGCAGGTATGGAGGAGATCCAGGCCCCAGATATCCAGAGGCCCCAGAGTACAAGGACCCGAGGAGGACCACCAAAGGGGGGGGAACCGTGCCACCCTCCTGGGAAGAGCTGAGTAGAGCCCCAAAGGAGAGGTCACCCCGCAGCTACGGAGCAGAGGCCAGAGGGGGTTGCAGTGGCGTGCCCGCGGGCTCTGCCGGCAGCCAGCTGTGCCAGAGAGGACCGAGCTTCAGGCCCAGAGGCCAGAGGCCTGAGGGCATCCCACCCCCCGGAAGGAGCCCAGCCGGGCCACAGGCGCCCGGCCCCGCCAATCGCCCACCAGGAGTGAGCCGGTACATACATGAGCGCCCAGACTGTGGATTGTATAGGTGGGGTGTGTGTGTGTGTGTGTGTGTGTGTGTGTGTGTGTGTGTGTGTGTGTGTGTGTGTGTGTGTGTGTGTGCGTGCATGTCCCCACAGAACCTACATTATGTATTAGTTGTAGTTAAATAAAAAAAATAAGTTAGTACTGAACAGCATTATATTGAAAATATGTGTGTGATTATAGCTGTTTAGAATTTTCTTCTCTGGACATGTGCAGAGAAAGGAGTGGAAGGATGAGGAGAATGAATCTAATCCCTTGTGTGAAAATTATAAATATGTTATACTATAGGCCAATTGAACAGTGTCACTCAAAACTGAATATTATTTCTTTAATTTATTGGAATTAACAGATTTAAACTCTAATAATGTGTATTCAATAAGCAGCTGCTGACTGTTTGACACACCCTTTGGCAGTCAACAGACAGAATTGTTAATGTTTAATTTGGGGTGAGCAAGTCCTAAACGATAACTGGAAAGGCAAGAGGATTCAGGACAATAGTCATTAATGAAGTCAAGTCTATCTGTGTCGGGTTTCCTCTTCCTCTCAATTTCTCAGATCCCAAATAAAAGACTAAAGACCAGTTTAAGAGTCAATGACTGAACAAAGCATGTGGACAGAATTTGGACTCTTGAAACCCTACATACAGAGAGTAAAGACCCCTCTTTGTATGTAGGGTTAGATGCCATATGGACAGCAACACGTTCAGCTCTGTTACCCCAATAAATTGTTGTTGACACTGCCCTCTAGAGATGTGTGATAGTGCATTTGTGCTGCAGACCTTAACCAAGAAACCCTCCAGCCTCCTCTCTATCCTACAAGCAGTGAGGGGTAGCACTGTGGGACGGTGCCTAGCTCTTCATTTGCATGTTTATAGGTGTTTGAATATACTGGTGCAGTGTCCGCTGTAACAGGCATGTTAACATCAGTGAAGTTAAATAAAAGAGTCAATTAACGTTTTTTTGTTTTTAAAAAAAAACATTTTAACCACTAGGATTATTATGAAGTCAAATTGATAAAAATGAGACCACCACATATCTCAAAAACCACAAACTCAGCACTGCATTGATTGTATTACTAGTCTCCAGCCATACACCCACCACATTTATAGCAGATCAAAGATGTAAGGACAGGTGAAGAACAGACCTAATCAACCAGTCACATGAGAGCAGCTCAGTGCATTTAAGCATGTAGACATGGTCAAGATGAACTGCTAAAGTTCAAACCAAGCACCAGAATGGGGAAGAAAGATAATCTAAGTAACTTTAAATGTGCTAAGGTTGTTGGGTATTCTGAATGTTTGTGAAACTGCTGATATACTGGAATTTTCACACAGAGTCTCCAGATTTTAGTCCAATAGAGAAACTTGGAGATGTGGTGCAACAGGAGATTTCCATGGCTGATGTCGAGCTGACAAATCTGCAGTCACCACGTGATGCTATCATTTCAATGTGGACCATAACAAAACAAAATTGAATCTATGCCACAAGGAATTAAGGTCGTTCTGAAGGCAGGACAGAGTCAAACCCAGTACTAGCAAGGTGTATCTAATAAAGTGGCCATTGAGTGTACATGCATAAGTTAGTATTCCTACCAGTGCTTTGTAGGTTGTAATAATAAAAGTGTATCTACCACTAAGCCTATGCCTTCTAGAACACACCTTTACTGGGGTTCCTGCATTGGTAAAGGTCTTACTGTTTCGCTGCTGCACAGATCAATAAAAATATATTGTCTTGATATATTGAGTCGGCTTTGCAGAAAATGGGAAACCAATGACTTTATTCAACTGCATTCATATTTTTTTGAAGAATGGATCTGCCATGATGGTGGCTGTCTTCCCTAATAACTTGTTGCCTGCACTTTGAATGAAAACCCAGAGGACCATTTCACAAAAGGTTGTATTGTCAGAAACATCCTTTCGGAGTAAAACAGAAAACCAAAACTGACCATGCTAAGGTGATGCTGACAAGAATGGCACAGCCTGAGGCACTCGTCAAACTTTTCCAAATCTTGGAGTATGTACTTGCAGTGAACTCACTCTTGAGCATGTCTAATGATTTTTGGAAATGATCAAAATCTTAGAAAATACCAGATTCTTCAGTCTTCATCTTATTTTCAAAATTAGCCGTAAAACTGATCCAGCTCTATGACAGGAAGGAAATGCTAATGAAGGTATCATTGTTATAGTTTGTACCATACCAAAGCATGCAGTTTTGGTAAAAGCGATATGCTTTTTGATGTCGGTAATGTCAAAGTATTAAAAAAAAAATAGCACAGGAACTGCTGCTTGCATGACAGATGTTCCCTAATGATACAAATGATTGCAGACAATTTGAGAGAGAAGGGCAACTTTTACCAGTCAGGCCAGTTCAATAAAACAGGCACTTATTAAACTCAAATACATCTTTGTGGATTTGCTCCAGCAAAATACTCTTAATATGTACACTTATTATCTTCTCCAGTAAGTGGGATTTTGAGCACTAATCGTGAGCACCCACATAGTAAGAGTGTATGACAATAACAAGATTTAATACATCATGTAATGGTCCTTTCACTTGATTAACGGTTTACTTTTTGATGCATAACACTGGGTAGAAAAGAAAAATGTTTTCCTGATAATTAACTCATCAACTAGATGACTAGGAAGTGCATTATTTATACGTAACCTATGCATATTCTTGTACGCTATATACTATACGGAGCACAAGGATCTCTACAAATGTGTTTTTTTTATATAAAAAGAAAAATCCAACGGAAGTAAATCGGCTTAATGGGCAGAATTAGAGGGGTCTGAATCCAGGGTAGGATTAAGGAAAATTGTGTGAAATAAAAGAGCGAGTGATCAGGAATGACTGTGCGTCTGTCTGGAGGGGGAGGGCGGGAGGAGAGAGAGGGAGAGAGAGAGAGAGAGAGAGAGAGACATTTTCATCCAAACCGCTCCGTTTTTTCCACAGCCTATCTCTTCTGCGCGGCTAAGCGCAGCTCCCTATTGTTTAAACTGTGAGGGGGGGAAAAACATTCCGCTTGTTCTATAAGCGCACCCAGTGAGTCATTTTTTTTTTTGATGTGATGCTCGTTTATGACTGCTCTGAATGCTGCATTCATTTTCAACTTCTCCGAATTCTCCACTTAGACTTGAGCTGCATCATGAATAGTTTGGGGGCACCTTTGAATCGCATACCTCTGGAATGGTGGGGATTACACAGCCGAAACCTGGAGGGCATGTAAACGCAGATGGAGTTTGGGATTTATTGCAAAATAAGGGAAAGATGACCGTCTTCTCATTGTACTTGCTTTTGTGCGCAGATCTACTGGATTTAGCCGTCGGTAAGTGTGACCCTTTCATGCCATTTTCACGCAGTGGGAACCTCTCACAGCTTTCCGATCTATGCGTGGGGTCTAACAATATCCGAACTGTCAGTGAGTTGAGGCATTCGTTATGTGACAGCGAATCAGGACTACTAACTGACCATTAACAGGACAGCCGGGTGGAGGCGATCGGTACCATTCTCGCCACATGCCAACTTTCACCCTACTGACTAACCAAGTCGTGGAAGAGTGAAACCAACGAATAATGGTCGGATTCAGTTCAGGCTGCAAGATGTGCGGTGTGCGTGTCTATGTACTAAATAGAAACGGAAGAAGAACGGTAGCAGTAGGCCTAGTTATGTAGTTAGTCTTAATTCATCTGCATCGACTATCACGACCAGCTTGCATGACAGCACCTACTTCTGAGTACCGCACAAGTATAGCTCCAATGCTGAAGCGCACTCCAAGGCGTTTGTTGATCGTGGGTTTTGCACACCAGATAGCGCCTGAGCTCAACAGATATTAAAGTTGATGCGCTGAAAAACATTGAAGTGCGTCTTTTAATGCAGATTTCCGCCTTCAGCGCGGTCTGCACGGCACAGCGGTGGCATCATTGTCGCGTGTTTTTATCCTCCGTTGATGTGTTTCGATGTTGGGGGATGAGAACACAGCACTGATGATATTTTACGCGAATCCTGAATGTTAACCAATATATATAAGCTATGTTTTACAGAATGCTAAAGCTGTGAGCAATAGGATTGTCTTTTTAGGGCAGAGAGTGGAGTGGTGATGGGACTAGGATGTTGCACTGGAATTTAGGAAAAACACATTCAAATATGTGCTGCAGATAAGAATCTGCCCTGACATTTAAACATGTCCCTTTATTGTTTTGATATTGCTTGTCACACCTATGGACCCAGTGGCATTTGTCAAAGGCTTTTTTGCCTTCTGCATGGATATTTATCATGGAGAGCTTGCACTAAAAAACAGAACTATAAGCACTCTTTTTTTTCCTTACTGAAGAAGCAAAGTATAACCCTGCTCATTCGGCTGGAGTTATAGGCTCAGAGTCAGTGCTAGCACGGTGGTGTTTGAAGGGCTTCAGAGGAGAGTTCACCCTTGGCTACAACATCACAGCAGCAGCATGCTGTACAAACCAAGATGTTAACCTTTCTTGCATAGCTGAGGATTTTGTTATTTTAAAGTGTTCTGACCTTTGCAGACGTATAGGAAATCATTATGAGCCATTTGGGCTTAACATATTCTTAGATGTTTAAAAGCCTCAGGTGTTTGCTCAGATGAGGGTGAACTGCACAAAGGTTCTGCGCTGCAAGTAGGGTACTTCAGGAATGGAATCATACTTATTTGAAATGGGTTTTTCTTTTGGGGTTTTATTATATCGCTTAGGAGAAATGTTACATGAAGGTGTTAATATTGTTAACCGTGTCAACAGCAAAAGGCAGAATTTAATTTTAATAAATAGCAAGAATATGGTTGTACTGACTTATGGTCATGCTGGTTTTCTGGTTTTTATTTGTATTGTTGAAACTAAATTGATTGACAC